AAACTCAAATATGTTTTCCAAAAACAATCGTCAGATCAAGATTATGCTGCTGTAAAAAATATGTATGACTTTGAACCCAACTTTACCTGGAGAGACAACAGATGTTTCTTAATCTATATGTTCAAGAATACAGACTCTGTGAGTTTTCTCTAAATGCTAGGCACGGTGTAGATACGTGTTATACTGTTTGATAAAGTGGCTGAAAAATGAATATTGTACATATGTTTCTTGTAAGCTCTTGCATGAAAAAGATGTACTTGTGAACGTGTCGGCTGCGTGGCGACTCGCTGACTCGTTGCCACTTGGATATCTCTCGGGGAAGGGAGATATGATGCAGCTCAATTGAATCCTGGCGGGTAATCTAAGGAAACAGATGGACTTTTAGTTATATTTGGCTGCAGATTAGCCACTTCCCGTCGCTTCCTCCCCCTCCAAAAAAAAAAAAAACTTGCTCTTGCCAACTCCCGTTTGACAATCTGAATATTAGTTCTCGGTCAGGAGGTCCGGCTTGCGTGCTGTTCGATTACCTATTCTGATGAGTGGGGGCGTGTGCGTTCAATCGTATCTTTGCTTTCTAAGGCCCAGCCGCCGTAGCCGGCCAACCCGTCTATGCCGAGGCCATCACGTCGTCCCCGTTTGCCCTGCCTATCTCACCATGCCAGCGCCCCATACCTGAGGAAGTTATCAGCGCCCTATCCACCGCTCCTAATCCTCTTTGATGACGGAGAGGAAGCGTTCAGTGGCGGCTCTCCTGGTATTTACCGGAGAGGCTGAATGAACAGGTGTCTCACCGCCTCATCAACTTTAAGATTTGCAGGTTGCACACTAGATTTGGGGTGGGGAGGGAATTCTGACTTGCATAACTTTGCTGTAAAAAGGCTTAATGTCACACACAGCATGCTGATTTGCTTAGGATGGCTGCCTGAAGTGGACTAACTCTGGCTGAAGTTGTTTAGGAAAACGCCGTTTCTGTCAGACTTTACAGACAGAGTGTTTTTCTCTGCTTTTTCTTTTTTCTTTTAGCTAATAGGACAATAGGGTCATTTTACCGCTGATGATATTCTGACATATTTCAGAAACTGATAAAACTCTGTTAAGAACTTTTTTTTTTCTCAACATCTTTGATTACATGAGCTTCAGATGTTCTTAAGCAGCAACCTGTATCCGGTGACTGCTCCAGACTGAGCAGGTTGATATTTTACCGCTTTATGATAGCAGGAGCAGTGAAAGTGAAACTTTACCTTCTGCGTCACTTGACTTACCTCATACAGACACTGCATCTGCTGGCATTCCTGACCAGCGGGGGCAGCGTTAATGATGTATGTACAGTAGTTGGTATTTACCCCCCACTGAGCCACATCACTTCCTTTTGATCCAGTTATCACTCTGACTGTGGTGGCCTTCAGAACCACTGCCCCGGTTCACATCTTTAACTAGACAATCCCTCAGTGAACCCCTTTATATTGTTTTGTAAAAGTTAAAAACGAATCGGCCATTTTTGAAAGTTTTTAGGCCCGTTGCAATAAGCAATTAATTAATCACATGATAAACTGTGATAAATGAGCTCAATAATTTCTGTTCTGATTAACATTTTTTGAAGAACAAGATTTTATTTGTGGTTTCAATTGCGTGAGGTTTTTGTTTCCGTTTTGATTTATTGTTTTTGGTTTGTCATGTTTTTATTTTGGACATTTCAAATGTCTTCCAGTTTCAGTGCTAAACGCTTTTTGTAAAATGAAAGTTTCTTGGTCTTTCAGAGGGCACACTCGCATTATTACACCATTACAAATACATAACTTGAAAATGGTTCGAAAACAACAATGTTATTGTTTATCACAATGATCACTGGGACAATTTATCCAATTTGTCCAGCAAAACAGTGTGAATTAGGATTTTATCACTAAAATAAAAAAAATTGTAACTTGTACAAAAACTCAAGACTTTTACAGTGTTAATGTAAAGTTAAAGAACATTTTTGATAAATAAATTATGAAATAATAATAATAATAATAAAGCTATTCTTAATAGTTCCGAGCAGTTCCCAATTGTTGCTAGTTTAACTGGACGGTTTTGCTTGAAAATAGTTTTCATTCATTTTTATTTGTGATCATGCCTAATTTGAACCACAAATGACTTATGAAGCGAAGACAAAAATGATTCAGACGGTGCGTATTTTAAAGACACTTCATGTGTGCAGTCCTTCTCTTGAAACGTTAGAAATGCCTTTGTCCACTAGAGGGCAGTGTAGCATTAGTCTTTGTTGGAAACTCGGTTCAAAGTCACACAAACCCAATAAAAAAAACAAACTAAAAACTAAAACTGTTTCTGTTGTGATATGTGAAGAAAGAGCAAAAGAACCAAATTGCTAAACTGCAACAGGTTGGTGCATTTATTTATTTTTTTCTTCTTGTGTCACAGGGAGTTCAGGGGATGCAGGTTGCGGGTTAAAGAGACGGAAAACTGAGACTGGATCGGCCCTGCAGGCCTCCTTAGAAGCCAGGATACTGAATACGTCACTTGTGACATTTTACACTCTCATTTTACTGCCCCATGTCAAATAATACAGAGCAGCGCAGCGCACTCCCTCACTAAGCCTCTTGCCGCTCTGTCTTGCACACACGAGGGTGCGTGGTGGGTCCGATGGAGGCGCACGCGTACACCTCTGCGTAGACGACGTTGGCTCGCGCACACAAACGCTCAGTGCCCGGCAGCTGTCCAGGCAGGCAGGCTGGCAGGCAGCAGGCTCCATCAGATAAATATGAGGCTTGTAATGCGACCACAGAGATGGGGCTGATGGGATCAATAAAGAACGGCGCTGCAGGTCACCGGGAGAACACAGCGAGAGGATAAATATGGACTGGCTCATCGGAAAACAGAGCGGCGACACTGACGGGTACACAGGACCGGATCCTCTCTCTGTGGCTGCCGACCTGGCCGCAGACCACACCGGCTGATTTCCTGCTCTGCCGCTTTTCTGCTTTTCACCAAAAGTGTTCACGTGAAGCTTCATTTGTCGCACCCTGAACGAGAACCTCCTCAGTCTCAGTTTTTTTTGTTTTGTTTTGTTATTTTTTATTGTTTGGGTCAAAACAAAGCGCACCCTTTAATTTGAAGACAGCATTAGAATGAATTCTGTTTTGAATGGAAGTGTTTTTCTCACTTAGATGTTCACTCTGAGGCTCACATTTGCTTCGACTGGAGAAAAGTTGAGTTGCCACTCCGTTCAACCTCTTTCCAGGAAGTGCTTAAGTATTCTGAAAGCTTTCTCAGAAGACTTACATTAGCATCACCTTTTTTTTTTCTTACTGGAAGCTACTTCAGTCTTTGGTTTTATTTCATGCAATTTTAAACAGTTCCAATTAAGTGCAATTGATCTAATTGGAGCAGTTTTCGCAGTGGAAGTTAAGTATTACAGTGAACCCTGGTCACCGTCTTAATCAGATGGGGTCAAAGTTTAAAACAACAGAGATGCACTGTTTCGGGGTGTACAACCTTCCTGAGGATAACTGTGTGATTATGACCGAGTGGTGATCAGGGGCTTATAGGGGTTTTTGCTGTGGGATTCTCAGCTGCTTGTTTCTGGTTAGCTTAAAGTGACGTTTGCTCCCAAAGCAGGAGCGAGAGCGGCTAAAGTCGCAGCCTCATGTGTCGGATGGTGTACAAATTTCTGAGATGTGAGATGGTAATGTTGCGGCCGCTGTGTGTGTGTGTGTGTGTGTGTGTCTGTTTGTCTGACCTCTGCTTTACTTATGGGGAGTCGGGGGAGAAAGCATTTTAAATACCAGCGCATGTTGATGTTGTGCTGAAAACATATTTCTATCAACTTGTAGATGAGGTGAATCATTTATTTTTTGTGTGTTTTTTTATCTGATCACCAATGGAGGTATTTACTCCATTCTCGAAAAAAATCTATTCCAATAAATATTTGCTCCTTGCTTTGCTTTTTTTTTGTTTATTTATTTTTTGCTTGATCAGTTTAGGGAACTATTGTTATTATTTTTATTCTTCTATTTGTGCAAGCAAACTTCTTAATATCACATGAATAATTCATAATTAGTTTAGGGACTTGGTCAAAATTTTTAATTGAGCTAATTGCAGAATCTGTAATTAATTGCATTTTTAATTGAAAATGAGGTATTGACAAAAAAAAAAAACATTTTCAATTTAAAACCCTGCTGTTAAAATATTAAATCCTGCAGACATATGAGCGCATCAACAAAGATATTTATTGTTTTTAATCTGTTATTTAGGTGACTGAGCCATCAGGCTGATGTAAAGTGGTATTATACTTATTCAGGAAGCCATAATCATTCATGTAGCGTCTTTGAAAAAATTCTTCTTTATGTCTGTGGATGCTGACATCAGCGTTGGGAATGGCTGTGCTTCGTTCAACATGTTTAGCACTAAGATGCTATTTGAATAGCTTCTCTGATAGGCTAACTCCTTTTAGCGCAACTTGAACTCAACAATAGTCTTTTCCGGTGTCCCATAAGATTGTTTTTTTTTTTGTTTGTTTGTTTTTTTTGAAGCAGAATTTAAACCCCATGACAAGAAAAATAACTTTTTTCATCAATCGTTTTTGTTTCCAGATGTTGCTTGTACGTCAGATTTATAGGCATACCAGAAACATGTGAATACAAAAGTTTCGGCTGGGAAAAGTTCCCAGCCGGAACTTTTGTATTAAAAAAAAAAAAAGAAAAAAATGATTGAGTTAAAATGATGGTTGCCTTCCCGTAGCGATTTAAATTTGATTTTATTTACTTTTACTCTTCCATCCTTAAAGCGACATTGACACGTGAACATATATTTTACTGTCCCACCATTCTTCCATTGTTGTTTGAGTCTTTATTTAGATTGTTCTACATATTGCATGTCTTCTATTAACATCGTTATTGTACCATTGTCTTGTATTCACCTCGTTTTCCTCATCTATTTCTGTTTTCGTATGCAATGAGATCTCCATACCCTTTTTATTTTATTTTATTTCTTTTATGTTTTAGGCTCAAAGAAGAACCAAAACCTCAGCAAGCACAGTAAGTAAACTGCATTACCCAGAGTGCTCTAGGCTTTGACAGTCTTCTTTTTTTCTGGCAGTTTGTGCTGTGTGCTTCTTGTGGCTTTCTCCTCGTCTTCTGGGGGCTAAACGAAAGAAATGACATCAATGTCATGCGATGACAGCTGGATGACTCAACAGTTGTAGTAATGGAGCAATATGTGATTACGTGTATGCCACACTGTGAGCTGAAATTGACCAGACAGGTGAATTGTATTAATATTAAACAGCTGACATCCATGGCGTTAATGGCAGTTGCTTTTCTTTTTCTTTTTTTTTTTTTTACCGGCGCTTTTTTCAGTTTCTTTGACAGACTTCTTGCACACCCTCCCCTTGTCCCTGGTTTCTACTTGGCTGTCCGTCTTTATCCAGTGTATCGGCTGCACTGTGGCTGGCCTGTGCAAACCCTGTAATTCCACTACAAACGTGGACTCGGTGCTCCTCTACTGTGCTACTGCTTCATTTGATCCAATCTCTCTTTAAGACTGGTCATTCGGAAAACCTGACCTCTGCTGCCCCTGTAAACTAGAAGAAGTGATACTTCTGTTAGCCTTGTCTGTAGCACTCATTTCCATTGGCTGTAGAGCTCACATCTTTCCCCTCCCCCCCATCGTTCTTATTTCTAATTTAACTGTGATAGCCTCGCACTTCTACCCTCTTCTGACTTTTCCATTGTATTTCTGACCGTATCTGGATGTCGGTGGCCCCCACGGTTGCCGTTCTGCCAGTGTCCTGGCCCTCTCCTCTATCTGCTGTGGTTGTAGTGAATGTTCCTGCTATTTCTCACTCCTTGAAACTGCCCTGCGATCCAAAAATCCCTCTTAAAGGTCAACTTATTTTCTCCTTTGATAACCAATTGCAATGTTTCAGCCACGCTTTGCTTATCCGAACAGGTGGTTTCCCTTTAGCGGGATCACTGGCCTGGTTAATAATGTTCTTCAGCCCCAGCAAAAGCCCCAAAATGACAAGAAGCCCGAACCAGACGCGTAAGTAATAACACAGACCCGCCATGACCTACTTTCAGCAAGAAAACAAAAATATTGTGACAACCAAAGGAGCTCAATAGGCTGTTTTTTTTTTAAACAAAGTTCCTAAGAGGTTTTTAAAGCTGCAGTATGTAACTTCTGCAATATTATGTTTTTTCTATATTTATTAAAACTTTAACAATGTTGTAACAGTATGGTATGAGACAGATAGTGGGTGAAAAAAATCATTCCTTCCAGTGCAAAAATGCATCGCTCCAGCTCAAAAACAGCCAATCAGAGCCAGGAGGAGGGACTTAGCGCTGTCAATCAACCTCCTGTACACTGCTCAAAGTGCTAATGGTGAAAAAACTACTTACCGTTACAGGAAAACAGTTTATCTGCCGTTATTGGTGGTCATGCTAATTAGCCGTAGCATTGGTAGCATGCTATGTTTTGGTGAAGCAGCTGTAGCTCAGCAAAGGGTAAGCAGGAGAGGGTGAGAACGGGATTGATTGACAGCGCTAAGACCCTCCTCCTGACTCTGAGTGGTTGTTTCTGACTGTGTGGTGTTTCCTGCAGTTAGTACTGGGAGCACTGGGAGAAGGCAGAGGAGCTCGATTTTTTATTTTATTTATTTTTTCACAAATTATCTGATTCACTCAACACAACATAATTAATTTGAATTTGAACAAATATTCTAAAAAGCATAATTTTTGATAAGTTACATACTGCAGCTTGGAGAGTGGTTATTGGTGTTAGATTAGCGGTGTATCAAACTTTTGTCTGATAAAGTGAGTATCAGCTTCACACCTTGCTGACACAAGCCTTTCGATTGATGCATCTATTTTTGTTACAGTGGTTGGGTAAGAAATTGTAATGTTCTGAAACAACAGACTTAAAAAAAATCCTAGTAAGTCTTGGATTGTAAGTGTTGTTTTCCATTCTGTTTTGTTTTGGTGTTGACTCACATGCTACGCTATTTTTTTTGTTTTAGCTTTTTTTGTTTTTTTTCTTTTTGCCTTTTTCCGCTACTTTTTAATAGATGTACGGCAGAACATCGGGTTCCACACTTTTGCTCTGCAAATAAATGTTCTGCATGTTACATGGCTAGATACTGAAAGGTGAGTACAGTATGCAGAGGAGGGGTGATCAATGGAGCAAGAGCCAGGTAGAGACGAAATAAGCAGAGAGCTGAAGCACAGAGAGAATCAAATCAAATGGAAAGAATTGCAGGACAGAAGCAAAACACACAGGCCAGTATTCAGAGTACAGCATACAAACAGAACATAACACAAGAAAGACCCAAAACCAACAGGAGATAACAAAACTCAAACAACAGAGGTTTAAAAAAAAAGAACACGATGGGAAGTGAAGGGAACAGAACCATGGAAATCACAGCAAACCATCACAAAGAATCTCAGAAACTGAAGAGTGAAACTCTAAATGCAAGAAACATATCTAGATTATACAATAGACATGTAAAAAAACCTCTAATGATGAAACCCAACTAGAATAATCAGTGCAATATAAGGAATGAAATAAAAATCTTATTGAAGAAATAATAATAATGCTAATGATAGTTTTGCTGTACAGGCAACATTCTTGGCATGAAATTATAGTCCATTAGCTGTGCCCCTCTCATTTACAAATACTAGTAATGACAGTTTCATTTGCTGTTGTTTCTGCCACAAAGTTGACTTTTTCCTTGGTAAATAAATCTTATGTAGTGCCAGCAGAGAACAAGACGTGTTACAGTAAAAATGAAGTTAAAGCCAAAAACTGTTGACACAACAGGCTCAGGAAACCAGGCAAAGGTTTGTCAGTGTAGTGTTTAATTTTTACATCAGTGCATCAAAGTGAGTATATTTAGCTTTTTCCAGCTCCTTTTTGTTACCTTTAATTGATCAAATGTAGACTGTGTCAACCGAGCGGGTGTTCTTCACCCTGTTTTTCACCAGCAAAAAAAAAAAGGACAGAAACCTCCAGATGCTAGCCAAAAGTAGCATCATGTTCCACTCCTCAGCAGCTAGCAGAATAAATCGATAATCTCAAACCGTAGCAGTCAGCCAAAGAAGACCGTGAACTAGATGAACTTCAAAGACTGGGGAAAATAAAACAAAGGTTTTTAAATGAATTCTGACATGTTAGCTGTACTAATGTAATTAGGCAAAAAGGGAAAAGTGAGACTTTGTTAACGATATTAGCTACACCTGTGCTGCTGAGTTGCTCAGTAAAAATGTAAACTGTGTAAGTAAAGAGAAGAGCTTAGAGGTCAGAGGTTTAAGTGAGTAAATTTTTATAGTCGAAAATTCTATTTGTTTCTGAATATATGTGTCTTTAAAGATATTATGCCATATTAGAGTATAGCAAAAACTACAGGCTAAACCATTCAAAAATATTTAGTATCTCAGCAAATCATATTTGTAAATGTATCTTTTTTTTTTTTTAGCTCCTTTGTGTTAGTTTCACCTGACTGAAAACATTCAAAGGTTTTTGGTAAGCTAAGATTAGACAAAGCTAACAGCAAGCAAGATTAAGATTCACAGAAACCATCATTAAAAAATTATCTAAAAAAATTGTTGCAAAGAAGAATATAAACTAGATTAACTCAAAGATTCTGCCAAAGAAACAAGAACAAAAAAAAAATATCAACAGATGTTGCAACCGATTGGTATGTCATGCCATAGTGTCAAAATACCGTGACAGATTAGCATGACACAGATAATCTCTGAGTAGATCGATCTCCTCCAACTCTTCCCTGAGCTTCCATTGCCATCTAAAGAAATGCACCGCTCCCAATCAGAAACAACCAATCATAGCCAAGAGGAGGGTCTCAGTGCTGTCCATCAATACTCGCTGTTCAATATGCTAATAGCAGGGAAACGACTTACAGTTACAGGAGAACTGTTTGTCTGCCATCATGGGTGCAGTACGCTAAGTAGCCCTAGCATTAACGACAGACTCTGCTAGCCTGCAGCGCAGCAGAGAGCAAGGTGAAGATGAGCAGCACCACATGAGAGTGGTTCACAGTGCTAATTTACATGCTGGATTTTGTGATGTATTCAAAATTAATTCAGTTTCCCATAATAATTCTTCACAATTAGTGCATTTTTTACAATATTAAAATATTTATCCTACCTCTCTGTGTCTATAGAAACCATCTGCAGCTGCACTGGACTCTCTTGCATAAAACATAACACCTTTCATTTTGTAACATTCTTTTGATACCACCCACCTATTTCTCCATAGGGTGTTACTACAGTCCTAATCTCTTGTCCTCCACCTCATTACTCTCATCCATCTTCGCCCTACACTTCCTGGCCTCATTCTTCACTTCTATCCTCCCTGCTCCAGGTACCATGTTAAGACTTCTAATGCCTCGTTTCCACTGAGAAGCATGGGTTGGTACAGTTTTGTAGGCTATTTTGACTATTCTCAATGTAAAAGTGGCCCATACAGCTGACTGGTACCGACTGGCTATTTGTGAAACACTTCGCTATTCTGAATATATATACATTTATTTACATATTATTTAGATTTTTTTTATCTGGAACTGAAGTCCTGAATAAACCTTGAATAAACTCATTTAGTGTAGGTCCAAAAAACAATGGTACCATATGGTTAAGGTGGAGCAATATGGGAATAGTGCCACACAACACAGTTCATTGACTGGAGGACAGAAAAATGTCTCTACTACAAAACATGAGACAGTATTGTGTCACATTTGTCATCACACTACTGTGATGCTACGCTAGGTGTGAGAGTCCAACTGGTGAACAGACAGGTCTTTGATAAAAAACTTAATCTTAATTGCTATGAATGTTGGAGAAGGCAAAAACTGACCTGTTTTGAAGTTACATCTGTGGTAAAACTTTACAGAAATTCTATGTAAATTCAAGCTTCAACAATTTATTAAATCACTGCCAGAAGCTTCTTGCCTCATGTAACAGGGTTTCCACGCGGTAGTAAAAGGTAGTAAATTAAATTAGCTCAAATTAAGGCCAGTAAAAGGTAGTAAAAGGTAACAAATAGAATTTGACTTGGTAGTTAATTTTTCAATAAACATTTCATGACCCTTCAATATATTTAGAATTTTACATTGATGATGACTTTTTGTTTTAAGTTCCTTTAACTATAAAATCTGTATTAAAAATGATATCTACTCCCAGGACCTGAGGTGATGTTAACAGACTCGATTGGTTTCGCTGTCCGATCTGCTGTGTGCATGCTTAGTGTTGGAAGTGCCTAATGTTTGAGACTAGTGAGTCACCATGAGAAAATATAAGTTTTCACGACTTTGCCTGGATGACCAGGTGACAGAGAATCACTTTGGAAAATATGAAGAAAAAAAATATAAATATGACCTCATGACTGCGACCAAACCGAGCGGAGCATCTACCGTTCATTCGCAGCAGATTCCTGTGCAGGGGAGCAGATGAAAAGTAGGAACTTTTTTACACTGAATATGGGAATAGAAAGATGATTAAACCCTTCTGGGTTAAAGCGGTGGACTTGCTGGTAACTGGTTGGATGTAGTGGTTCCACTGACGCTTGCCCTATGCCTGTTAGGAGATGGAACCCAAATTACAGAAATGGGTAAGGCAGTAAAGTGCCCTACCCGTTGGCCCAAAGCCAATGGTTCCCTGGCCCCTCCTGTTCCGGCGAAGCTGCGCAGATCACTGCCAGTTCAGACTTGTGGGAATAATGCATTTAGTGCCCACAGGTTCTATTTTTTTTCATAGCGCATGCTCCCTGCGTGCTATTATTAGCCCTAGCAACAGTTGCCATGCTGCTGACAATGATGTCATCAGCATGACTTCAAATTATGTCTGTGTCATGAGGCCCTTCTAAGGATGACTTTGTGATGTCATAGAGTCCATGACATAACCAACTGATCAGTTAATTCTCTAATCAGTCGACACAAATCAGTTAACAAGTCAGTCAACACACAATTCATTTGGAAGTTTTAGTTCAGCACAGTAAAGATGAATGACGAAAGCCCACAGAGAGAAATGGATGTGAGGCCTCAGGTCTCTTTTTGGACAAAAGT